CATCAAGGGATTAATGGACAAACAAAATGTGGTCCAAACATACAATGGAATATTATTCAACCTTAAAAAGGAAGGAAAGCCTGACACATGCTGCAACATGGATGCACCTTGAAGACATTATGCTGAGTGAAATAAGCCAGGCACAAATATGGAATGATTCCACTTATATGTGGTACCAGGAGTAGTCAAATTCGTGGAGATGGAAAGTAAAGTGGTGGTTGCCAGGTGCTAGGGAGGAGGGGAATGGAGGGTTACTGTTTGATGGTTACAGAGTTTCAGCTTGGGAAGATGGAAACGTTCTGGACATGGATGGTGATAATGGTTGCACAACAATGTAAATATATTTAATGCCACTGAACTGTACACTTAAATAATGGTTACAATGGTAAATTTTATGTTATGTATACAAAGGAGGGAAAGAGAAGAGGGCAAGGCTGCTTAAATTCCCTTTGCCAGCTGACATAATCGTTACTTGCTGTGTATCAATAAAGTTCTAAATGTATCAATAAAGCTCTGGTCCAAAGTCCTGTTCCAAGGTAAAGATGTAGTGATGCTTATTTTTGGTTGGAAAATAGCTTTTAAACACCTCTGTTCCAGTTTCCCCTTCCCATTGAACTTGCTCTTCAGATGATACTCCAGTTACGTGGGGAATCTCATCTGATCTTTATTAACACAGCCTATAGTCAAGAGGAGGCAAAGGTGTTTCTTTGCACTTCTCCCAATTCATCTACTGGAATTGGCTTTGTGGAGATTATTCAAATTTTGCATTTCTGCACAAACTTCTGCCTAGACGTTAGTGAATCCTCACTGTGGCTGTTCCCTAACTTGCCATGACCCAGTGGCTTAGTAATGCGCTCTTGCCTCTGTGGCACCCCAGCCGGGAGAGCTGACTCAGGAAGGAGCCTTCCCATAACTGAGCCGGCTGGGTGCATTCTCTGAGGCAGGCAATCCCGCAAAGGGGCAGAGCCTGAGAAGGAGGTGCTCCGGGACAGGGAAGTAACGTCTCAGAGCAGAGGGAGGCAGAGGACATGTTTTCCCACCAAGCATGTAAGCAACTCTATGACCTACTTGGACAAATTTTGAGGTCTACTAAAGACTCCGATATACTGGTTGATCTGCTAGAAGCTCTGATTTTTCAGTTGAGGACCTCATGTTCGAATTGTGCACAAAATGCCCCATCTCTAGCCAACATTCCCTGAACACAGAGCATCTACAGATACAGAGTGAGAGAGAATTGGACAAGCAAGGTATCAGGACTGGTTATGTATGTATTGTGTGTGTACATATATATTTACCAATTACATATATATATGTGTGTGTATTTGTATATTATATATATATATTTACCAAAGTCATCAAAACCTTGTGATAACTCCTCTGTCTCTTCATTGTAAAATAGAAGAGACCCCATGCCCCAGCCTACAACTAGGGATGGGAGCAGGATGAATGGAGACATCCCTGGATGGAGCCATGATAGTATGATGGTACAAGAGTCTCTGCAAAGCATCTTCTGGTTCTAAAGCCACTCTTGAATAAGGAAGAACTGGCAGCTCCTCAGCCACAAACTTTTTGGACAGAGCTGAATTTCACGGCATAACGTCTCCTCAGTGAACTCTCCTCTCTCTTTCCCTAGTAAGCTCACATGGATATTCTTTCCTCACTTCACCCTCCTGGAGCCCATATGGGATGACTCATGCCCTGCCACCTCAATGCTGAATTCCAAGTTTTTAATAGAAATTTCAACATCATCTCCATGCGCTGTACCATCAAATAACTCAGGTTCAGCGCAGAGGTAGGGGCCTGCAGGGGCTTCCACAGTTCCTATTTGGACTTTATTGTGACTTACACACACTTGAAATAACCACTTGACTTCCCAACATCATGACCATAAACTTGGATGAAGAATGCACCCCTCCCCAACCCTGTCTGCCACCTACCCTACAGTGATAGCCTCAGACCTCTGAAATGTTCTTTTAAAAGTCTAGGTTCTACATGACACATCTATTAAGTAACACATTAAGCAATATATTTCCACTGCAAATTGGAGCAGTGGAAGCTGTGGTGAGAGAAGTCAGAAAGTGACTGGGTTTAGAGAGGGAAAGATTGATTGGAAAGAAGAACAAGGGAACTTTTTATATCTTATTTGGGGTAGTGGTCAAGTGGGTGTACACAATTGTCAAAACTTACTAATCTGAATACTTAAGATCAGTGTGTTTTCTTACATGCAAACTACACCTGAATTCTTTTTAAGTAAATTAGGGGGGAAAAAAAGGAACAGTGGCACTCACCAGGTAAAAGATGGCAACCTGTGGCTGTAGGAAATAGGGCAGGATACCAACCTTCTCCTTCCCTCCACCTTCTCCCACATCTCTTGTATTACCAGATCTCAAAGGCAGCCCATCAGAGTTGCTCCTGCTCCATGAGTAAGGGCTGGATATGAGAACATGATGGCTTTCTCTCCAAAATGCTGACCAGACATGAGGGCTAGGGCTGCCAGGGGAGTGGAGGTTTTGGATGTGGGGTGGGCTTGTGTCCAGTCTCCCACTCCTCTCCTAGGAGTTTCTGTGGCTACTCAGAGTCCAGCTCTCCTGCTCCTCAATCATCCTCCCCACATTCTGAGCCTCAGAGAACTGGATAGAGGTCTCCCAGAGAAGACTTGGAGGAGAGCAAAGTCATCAAACACCTAAAGCCAAGACATACATGGCAATCCGTCCCACAAGGGTGCCTTCAACTGGGATTTCTGGGGCAAGGTGAGTGTGGCAATCAGGTGTGTGACATCAGTTCAGCCTGGAGGCCACCAGCCTGGGGTTCTCTCTTCACAGTAAGCCCAGAGAGGTCTTCATCTGGCTCCTAGCCATCTTATTGGCTGAGAACCTAAGGCCAGCAACACCTTGAGACTCCTGGCTGATCCTCACTCTTCACCAGGGAGAAGCCAGTGCTCCACACTGAGTTCACTAAAAAGCTTCGGTTGCAAATCTATCCACTGGGGAGCAATCCATCCCTGCTCTCCCACACGTGAGCATTTATGCATTTCACAGGTGACGAGATATTAGGAGAACAGAAATTCTATTTCCACTTTTGTTACCCTCTGGCCTACCACTTTAAGTGCCTATCTGTCCCCAGTTATTAAATGGGCCCAGTAATGGCACTGAGCACTTCTTTCAGAGAGAATTTAATGGCATTACTGAGATAATTACCACTACGTATGGTGACTTCAGTAATAGACAGTGGCTTTGGATAGGGTCCACTGCAAGGGCATGGATTTTTTTAAGCCTTCAGGCTTAAAATTCATGCAGAAATCTATCCATTCTCTTGTTCAAATTCGGAGATTTTAAGAATGAGAGAAGTTGGGAGAGTTGAAATATGAATGAGTCAGTGTTGGTTTCTGATGCTCTGCTTTGTCTATTTCAGTCTTTTTTCCCTACCATTACAACCTCTGACTTCACTCTTTTCCTCTCTGCATTGTACTTCCTGCCATTCTAGGGAGAGGCTGAGGTTTCTGGATCCAATGGCAAGCATTTAAAAAAAAAGACAGCGGTACCATTTCACTCAGGACTATGTTTCTTATCCAGAAGGCTCCCCAACCAGAGGCAGAGACTATTTTGTTCAGCTTAGAGGAGGGGCCCAAGGTGCTGAATTAAAAGCAAGACAGAGAGTCACCACTCAAGTTCATTGGCAGTTGGAAGGAGTGGACCCCCACACCTCTACTCTCTCCTGTCCCAACATACTTGAAGGAAGTGACCAGAACCTTAAATAGTTAGGGGCCAGTCAAAGCAAGGTTTGCTTTTACAAGAAGCCACATCTCTTTAAAATAGCCCCCTGGGATGCTGGCTCCATAGAGACTTTGAGATTGAAGGAAGTCCCCAGCACCACTTGTTGAATGGCCCCACCCAAGCAAGTGTGGCCAGGACTGAAGAGGGGTGCAGGTAGATAGTGTCTCCAAGGCAGAACCAACACAACTTCAGGGAATTATTGAACATATTTCAGAGAGGCAGGAAGCAGATGAGCTGGAGGAGCATCTTGCAAAGAGTCATAGCAATGAAGCCTAAAGTAATGTTGAGCCCATTTGTGGAGCCTCTCAGTACTGAAGGACATAGCACTACTTCAAGCCTCCCGAGTCAGGTTTACTTCTGCTTCCCCAGACATATGGAGACAAACCTTTCTCCTGAGCTGTCTTTCACTGGCAGAAAAGGCAGAATAGACTTTGTCCTCTTTCCAACCATACATAGTCAAGGATGACAGAAAAGCAGAGGGCACTTCCTGCCTCCTTGCAAATGTAGTATAATCCACATGGGCCAGCCTCTGCAAAGCTCAAGATACTGACGCTTTCCTACCACCATGAAGTCAGGGGGACCTCAGCCCCAACCTGATGTTCACCTGTTGCACCTGGCCACTGGCCACGGATTCATACTAAGAGAGAAAGCAAAAGGTCAGATTGGGCTCTCTCCACAGCAAGAGCCCAGAGAATCCTGGGGAAATTGACATTTTAAAAATCACCTCCTCCGGAGCTGTCTCAGAAGAGCATAACTTTTAACTCTACCCCCACTCCCAACCCCCCAGACTTTCCTTGAAACACTTTCCCTCCATGATGGCCTGTTGGGAAAGAGTTAAAGAAGGTGCGTGACTAATTCCCCAAATCCTCCCTCTTATCTACATAGAAAAAGAACAGTCCTACATGGAAACACACAGAAACCCACTGGCAATTTAGCTCAGACCTCACCTGTCTTATGCAACAGCACAAACACACACACACACACACACACACACCCATAAGGCCATAGTCCACATCTACCTTTAATGAGGCAGACATAGTTTTGCACCTTTCTTTTCCCTACGCAGAAACCGGCTCGACTGGCAGCAGAGAGACAGATGTAACCTTAGTGCCAAACGCCTTGCGGGAACACACAGAGACACACAGGAGCCGATTGCATCTCATAGCTCTCCGTGGTGCTGAAATCACGCTAGCACGGAAATCAAAGGAGCAAGTGCGCTGGACTTACCGGGGCTGGGGGTGGGCGGCAGGGGAACGAGAGGAGCTTCCTGCGAAGAGAATTCTTGTCTGTTCAGGCTGGAGCCAGCTGATGCACTCACCTAGAGAACCCACCTCTCTCTTCTGTTCCCTTCCTCCTTTTCTGGGAGGAAGTGAGGAGGCTCTATGAAAGAAATGAAACCCCAGCTGGCAGGGCTAGAGTGGAAGGAGAAAGAGGAGGCAACCAAAATAAGATCAAAAAGTCAGGTGGCTTTACTCCACTAGTGGTAATTCCTTGGGTCAGGGAGGACCCCTCTTCTCTCACTCTCTGTGTCTGTGCCTTTCTCCGTCTCTGCGTGTTGAGCCAACAGCCTTAGCACAGTCGGTTCCTGCCTCTGACGTGAAAGAGACGAGGAAGCCTGGGACTGCTTTGCTGTCTCTCTCTCACGCGCTCTCTCTTTTCCCCTCTTGGTGAAATTTCAGCAGCATGATATTTTTTTTAAGCCTCCGTTTTTTCCATCCCCCTACAAGCAGCCCCCTAGTGGACAGAAAAGAAAAGCATCCTGATTCCTCTTGAACAGTCTAGATTCAGACACAGGAACACTCCCTGTACCCACAAACTCTTGGGGACTGCTTCTGCACATACAGGGTCCTGTACAGCCAGCGTCTCCCCTCTGGCCAACCCAGACAGGAAGGGAGAGGGAGGTGGAGGAAGGGGGAGAAGATCCTTTGCCGATGATTGCAGAAGAATGCACTAGGATGGGGGGAGGGGTTGGGGAGACAATGTTTTGAAAGATCAGCCGTGGGGTTCCCGAGTGGTTTAAGGTCCTTGCTTAGCAGAGAAACATCTTCCAAAGAGTTAGGGTCTGCAGCCAAGTGAGCTATGTCTATACCCAGGACAACCCAGAAATTGTATGCTTAAAGAGGCAGGGGATGTAAGGAACCAGAGAGGGGTATCTAGCCAGGACCCCATCTATCACCTGAATATGGCTTTTTTTGAAAGCTGGTAATAAAAATATCTGGGAAGTCATGGCCTGAGATCATCTCAGAGATGGAGAAAGAAGTGACCTTGTTGAGCAGCCCTGGAGAACTGCAGCAGAGAAAGGCCATCAAGGGTCACTGCTCACAGGCTCCTAAGGGATACTTTACATTCTCTTAAAATATACAGTCTCACAGCCTAGTGGGAAGGGTCCTCGCACTTCCATCTACAAAGTTGAGTTCCAGTTTCAACTGCGACTCACTGGACATTTTGCTTCTTTACGGCTCAATTTCACTGTTTGTAAAATGTGGATAATGCTGCCCCCTCCCTACTGAATAGAAACGCTGAGGGATTGGAATGATAGAGACAGACAACCGCAGCTAACAGGGAATTTCAAGATAATTCTATCCAAACACCTTTCTTAGGCTTTATTCACTCTTAGCAAATAATAATAGCTAGCACTTATAGAGTACTTAGCCGGTGTCAGGCACTGTTATAAGCCCTTACACATATTAGCTCACTTAATCCATAGGATAACCCATAATGCAGATGCTACTATTGCCATTTTATAAGTCAGGGAACTGAGGCACAGAGGGGATCAGGAAACATGCTCAAGATCACACAGCTAGTGAATAACAGGGATGGGGTTGCAACAGAGGCCATCTGACCCTGGAGCTTCTGTTATTAATGTGTATCCTATACAACAAATGTACACTTCAGATGTGATAGTATCTGATATAAACAGAAGATAGCACCATAGCCATCATTACTTTTGTTTATGATAAATGCCTAGATTGTTACCACAAATTTCTATGTAGCTGAGTTTTTAAAATGAATTATTTGCAACTATGGGTGCCAAATAAACTGTGGAAATTGCTATTACTGATGAGAATCCTCTAAGCAAACTAATTTTCTTGGTGAATTGGGTAGTTTCACATATAGAAAACTGTCTGGAAATCTCATGAAGTTGGAAACTATTAGGTTTTAACACTAGTTCAGAAGACAGGTCACTCAATACCTGTACCAAAAGCAGATGGTTGTCCAGCGCCTAATGCAGTGCTAAGATGCAGGCAGCAATTTGATGAGCAGAACTGTTGCAATGCACTCAGCCAATAAGCACCCAGTGAGCTATTGACAATTCTTTGGAATTTCAGAATTATGAATTCCTTACCTAACGCGGCTCATTTTGTCTGACTTTCTTTGGATCAAAAGTCAACAGAGCAGGACAAAGACGGAATGTGATGGTTAACAAATTGTGGTTCCTGTCCTCATAGAATGCCCAGTTCCTCAAGAGAGGTGGGCAGGAGAGACCATTACAGTTCAGGGGGTAAGTGCTGAGACATGGGCAAATGCATGTAACAACTGAGCACATCGAAAAGATTACTCACCCAATCCTTGAGGGCCGAGGGACTTTCTGAGGAGCTGGCCTCTATGCTTAGGCCTGAAGAGTGAGAATTTATCTCAGCAAAGTGTGAGGGAGAGGTAAGCAGAAGGCACAGCATGTGCAGACTTGGAGGTGAGAGAGAGCACAGTGTGAACTTTCAAGGTAAGCAGTACCCTTCAATTTACAAATGGGGAAACTGAGGCTCAGAAAAGCTAAGTGGCTTGATCCAGGTCACACATCCATTAAGTGTAGAGCTCAAACTAAACGCACATCTATTTGATTCTGAAGTCATCCTCTTTGTGAAGTACCACATTGTCTTCTGTCTTCACATGGAAGTGATCACACGATTTCATAGGATGTTTCAAATAAAATGCCTACACTAACCAAGTGCTGAGGTGGCATCTACAAGGAAGCTGGAAGTGGGATCCATTACTGTGAGAGGAGAAGGCCGCAAGAAGGCACTAGTCCATGCACAAAAAGGAGAAATTCAGGATGGCAGAACTGTTTCTGGTGAATGTGAAATTACTAAATGTATTAGGAAGTAGAAATGAAATATTTGAGGTCATCAGAGACTCACATTTGAAAGCAGCAGGGTTATAGAAAGGGCTAAGACAGGTTCATATTGGGGGCCCAGAGGAGGAAGAGCTCCTTCTGCCTGGGAGGGATTTGGGGAGACTTCACACAGGAAGTGGCTTTTCCCCTGGACCTTAAGAGTGTGGGCTCAGGAGACAGAGGCAAGCCAAACTCCACTGTGCTCCACTGCCCCCAGGCATTTCATACACAGAAAACATGAGATCTGAGTTGTCTTGAAGGATAGCAGGACATAGGGAGAGGAGAGTAAAAGATCACTGTAGGCTGAAGGATGCCAAACTTTGGGAAATGGATAGGTTTGGGAGGGGCGGAGGGGAAGTGAGGTTAGTGGATGATTTGGTTTGGGGCATGCCATGTTTGCGGAGGGTGTGACTACGTATCATAATAAGATGTCTAAGCAATGGTTGGAGTATGTCTCTGGAGCTCAGATTAGAAATCTGGGGTTGGTGATGTGGATCTGGAGCCATTTACATGGACATGATAGTTGCTGGATGGGGCCCATCGGCAGGAGAGACAACTAAGAAGACTGAGGACAGAATCTCAATTCTATTTCCTCAATTCTTGGATCAAGATTTTTATATATTCTTTAATCTTTGTGGATAAAGTACTTGGTACCCAGTGGATATCCACAAAATACTGTGGATTGGCTCATAACAACCACCCAAATAATGTATTAGTTGAAGACGATATTGAGACCAAGGTAAGTTGTGGGTTCCTTAACTTCTGATCTACTCTCAGAGGCAAGACGCCTCTGTCACAATCTTCCTTTGGAGCTGGTAATGACTGGCACCTGGTTTCTTTCTTTCTTTTCTTTTTTTTGAGGAAGATTGGCCCTAAGCTAGCATCTGTGCCCATCTTCCTCTATTTTATATGTGGGACACCTGCCACAGCATGGTTTGATAAGCAGTGCCTACGTCCACACCCAGGATCAGAACCAGCAAACCCAGAGCTGCCAAAGCGGAGTGCGCGAACTTGACTGCTATGCCATGAAGCCAGCCCCACCCTGCTTTTTATTTTTGACCTGGCACTCCAGTCCCCAAGCCCTCCTCCGTGTTGCTATTAGTTCTCCATTCATGCTGCTGGACCAAACCGAGCATCTCCTCAGGCACTCAGCTGTCTCCAGACAATCAGGCACCACAGTCTGTCAATCACACTGGCATAATTTCCCAAGGAAAATACACACCGTAGTCAGCATCCAGAAGGTCCCTGGGATCCAACCTTCCAGAACTTGAGGTCTGGATGCTGGGACTCAGAACATACATTTGTGGCTTTTTGACAGAAAAGGGAAGGGAACCTAGGATTCTTTGGGACTTGGCAAGTCCAGAACAGCCATGGGGAGCCCTCACTTCCCAGGCTAGCCTAGGCCAACATCATACCGCTGCCTCAAAGAGCATAGAAAGGAAGTTTGGTGTAAACACCAGATAGGACACTTGATGGCCTCAGGGCTCTGACCAAGGAGGAGAAAGGGAAGAGGAGCAGTGGGCAAGATCCAGGTTATTCATCACCACCACAAAGCCCATTTTATCCAGGTAACTCTTCCTGAGCAAGCCTTCCAGGTCCCCAGCCCTTCCCTCTTACACAATTTCTGACCCTGCCCTCTGTCCTTTCCCAAAGTCTGTGTTTGCCTGGCCACAGCTATGTAGAATTACAAATTATTGCTCTTTCCTCCTATAAGGATGTAAACTCCTTGACAGCTGGGACCTGGTTGGCCTTCAGGAAGCATCTAGCAGTGCACTGAGGGCTCTGCCCACTTCCACTCCAAGGCTGGGCCCAGGAGACAGAGGAAGTCAGGAGGCGGAGAGAGAGAGAGAGAGATTGATTCTGAGGTTCCAACTAAGTCTGCTAGGTTGAAGGGGAGAGCTGAGTGGACAGAAAAAAGTTTCTCCCAGATTGGAAACTCTATTTGGGAGGCAATTTTCCTCTTTTATCTTCCTCACCCCAAATCTTTTCCTCATAGCAAAGGTGAGGAGGCCGGGCACCCCTCACAATCCTAACACGACTCTGCCCCGCACTGAACAGAAGAGCCTGCTGTGAGCTGTGCACCCCCACACCTAATTACAACAGACCCTTCATGGCCACATTCCTTAGATGGGGGCCCAGCAGTGACATTCTGTAGGGAGGGGGCCCAGGAGTGTTAGGCACAGCAGCCCTGGAAATAAATGGCTCCCGGAAAGCAATGGAAGAGCTCTGCCCTCTCAGAGTCTCGCCCTGGGGGAGGGAGGACAAGAGTGTTGTACAGTGTCCCATAAACTCCCGTGGGGTCCTGTCCCCACAGCCCTGACCACGTGCGGACTGGAGGAGCCTCCACAACGGCCAGGCTTCTCAGCACCTATCATACACAAACCAGGAGTCAAACATTCAGGCCATCCCAAAGAAGGCAGCTTGGGGAAGCTGCCTCTAAAGTGGGGGTCTGGGGCTAGATATTGTTCCTAGGGCCCAGGGAGAAAGGGGAGAGAGGAGAGCCAACAGAAAGGAAGAGAGGAGAGCAGAAGTTGCCAACAGTCAGAGTTGCCTGATAATGAGGACTTCCTAAAAGCGGT